TAGAGCAAATGCCTGAATCAAATTATAAACAGAGAACATTGCTTTGTCTCACGGTCTGGGAGGTTTTGATCCAAGTTCACATGGGCCCATTGTTTTGGGTTTGTAGTGAGGCAGGATATGATGGTGGAACACATAGAAGAGCCAAATGCTCACCGTTTCCAGGGGGAAAGGAGAGGGAGGGGAGGGGTTGGGGTCCCTCTATCACCTAGGAGGACACATGAAGAATGACCTGAAGACCACCCACTAACTTCCATCTCTCAAAGGCCCAAGTCCTTCCAATGACAAACCTGAGGATTGAGCTATTGGCACCTGGGTCTTTTGGGGACATGCAACATCCAAATGATATCAGCCTCCAATATACACCTGTTTAGAAACAACGGGTGAATAATCCTGAAATTAATGAAGAAATCCAAGAGGAATGGGTTTTCCACAATGGGAAATATTGTAATAGGTGTTTATTCCACAAATGTGAAGACTTTCCTAGTGAATTGCTTCGGTTTAAAATGTAGACAAAATCCTGAATGCTGATATAGTTGTTTCCTTGTTTAAAAACCTCTTTTGAATTTCAATAAGTCTCCCAACAACAAAATGCTAAAAATATAACTTGTCTTTCAGAATTCTACCTCATGGGTCTCTGAGGTGATCTAGGACTGTAGCTGGTCCTCGTTGTACTGTCTCTTCTCACAGTGCTTGGGAACCTGCTCATCATCCTGGCTGTCAGCTCTGACCCCACCTCCACACCCCCTTGTATTTCTTTCTCACCAAACTGTCTTTGACTGATATGGGTTTCCTCTCCACCACGGTCCCAAAGATGATATGGACTTCCAAGTTCATAAGAGGCATCTCCTATGTCGGCTGCCTGACTCAGATGTCTCTATTACTTTTGGAAGTATGGATGGTAAACTTCTGCCGTGATGTCCTGTGGCTAGTCGTGGCCATCTGTCACCCATGCCTCATTACCCAGTCATCATTTCATCATTACCCTTCACCAATATCACCAATATGTCTCCTTAATTCTGTTATCTTTTTCCCCCAGTCTTTTGATCTCCCCTCTGTCAATCTGATTATCTTGTACTTTAAACACTTCAAAGATAAGGGACTCACTCATTTCTCCTGTGACTCTTTCAACTCTTGATCTTGAGGGTTCTGACATTTTCACTAATAATGCACTGATGTACTTTATTGGAGCCATATTTAGATTTCTTCCTCACTCAGGGATCCTTATACCTTAGTGTAAAATTCTTTCCTTCATTCTTAGAAACCCATCATCAAGTGGGAAACATGAAGCCTTCACTACCTGTGGGTCTCACCTTCTAGTTGTTTATTTTGTGGATAATGCAATAAATGCCCCGTGGTTTAGCTGTATCACATTTGCCCTCAAAGATAAGTTGGTCCAGTGATGTACACTGGTAACCCCAGTGCTGAATCCCCACATCTGCAGCCTGAGGAACAGGAAAATTAAAAACACTTAAGGAGGCTAATGGAAAAACAGTGTGATGTCAGAACTTGTAGCATCCATTTGAGATACAGATTGGAGAAGGCAGCACAGCAAAATGAATGTAATTAATGACACCAAACTGTCCTTAAAAATGGCTAAAATGATAAATTTTTATTATGTGTGCTAACATAATAAAATATGGAAATAAAAAGTAGATGGATCTTTCTTAACAAAAAATGAAATAAATGAATAGTTTACATGAAATTTTCCCTGAGTAGAGGAGAAACCCCAAATCCTATTGAGGACATTCATTTTCCATTTTTAATCTTTCATTAATATTAGCAAAACCTTAGGGATTTGTGTAGTGAAGACCAAGGTGAGTAATTATGAGCTCCGTGTACTGAGCCTCCGAGGTCTTGATCTAGTAAATACTCAGCCTGTGCCTGCAGTCTGGTTGGCACCACACCTTGGTTGTCTTCTGCCCTGGTTCTCTGCACAAGGAAGCTCCTATGGGTCACCTTATTCAGATCCGTCTTAAGGAACAAGCTTGAGCCTTAATTACACAATGGGAAGGGGAGGTTCATCAATTCTGCCATCCAAGGTCATGACCAAGTAGCTGCTCAGCACAACCAAGTAAGTGCTGAGGAGGACAGGGATGGAGGAAGGACTAACAGAAGCTTTACTTGTTATCATTAGAAGACATTTGACAGTTGAGGCAGACAGATGGAGAATGACAGTGTAAAATTTTAGGTACGTGGACTGCGAATTTTATGTCCTAAATTGTGATGGGATTCCAAAAATCTTATTCAAAATTTTACTTTCTGCCCACAGTACTCTACTCGCCATGGACATCACACCCACAACAGGAGGAAATGGGTCTGTGTAACCTATTTCATAACTACTCCAAGGTATTGATGATGGTTGGGGGTGAGAGTGCCCTGACATTGTGCACCAGTGTTTCTGGTTTCTAGGTGCCAGGCGCTGAGCGCTGCGTTCTATGTAGAGTGTTTCATCTCCTGTGCACAGTCTTCTCCAAGTTACATGTTCCCACGCTGGCATCCATTTACAGGAAGGAAGGAGCCCAGCACTTTTGTGTAACAAACACAAGGAGAAGGTGGTTAGGTAGAGAAGCTGAAGCCTTGCTTCAGTTGATCTGCATGATAATGATGCAGTCCTGCCAGGGGAATCCTGCCAGGTGGGGCTGTTGACAGCATACCCAGCCATCTCACCTGCCTTCACACCAGGAGAGATTTCCTCAGCATCATAAACTTGCCTTTTGTGAGAGTCCAGGTAGATCACAGTGGAGATCTCTGACTGGCACCTGGTGCATGGAATATAGGTGGGATAGCTATATAAAATAAGCAGTGATTTAAAAAAAATAAAAAATAAAAGAGCAGGCACAAAATAATTCCACCCCAATCTTTCTTTTTTTTCCTAGTCCAGATTACCTTTGAAAGCTGTTCCTATCTTCCTCTGATATTGTAATGAGTCTCATACAGAGAAATAAATTCAGGTCTTGGTGTCATTTCTTTCAGAAATCTGGAGGGACTTTAAACATGAGCCTCATATGTCCCTGTGGTTATGACTGTGGAAACTCTTTTTAAACTTTCTGGTGCTTTGGAAACAATAAAACACTTTCTTGTTCTAGTTTCAGAGTCTGGCAACTTAATTTCCAGTGTTGCTGGCTTCACTTATTGTTTCCGTGACATAGAGCAGGTGGCTCTTGTCTCCAAGTCTGAGCACTGTCCTGTGAGTTGATTTCTGGGTGACAAGTGCACCCAATAAGGACTGCAGGGGTGAGTCGTGTTGCAAACGTTGCTAGACACAATTAAATTTCCCTCTTTTGTGGCAAAGAGCTCCTCCCACTTTGTGGACTCTCTTTTCATGTTCTGCCTTGTTCCCTTTGCTGTGCAGAAGCTTTCTGATTTTATGCCATCCCTCTTGTTGGTTCTTGGTTTTATTTCTTGAACTTCAGGGGTCTTGTTATGAAAGCTGTTGCTACACCACTGGGTGGGAGTGTTTCCTTCGAGCAGTTGCAAAGTTTCTAGTGGAATTCCCAGGTTTTTGATTCACTTTGAATTGAGTGCTTTTGTAGGGCAAGAGACAGGGAGTTTCATTCTTCTGCATATGGATATTAGTTTCCCAGCACCAATTGGTAAAGTAGGCTATCTACAAATCTAACCAAGGAAGTGAAAGGCCTCTACAACTAAATTATTGAAGACTGAAGAAAGAAACTCAAGAAGACCTTAGAAGATGGAAAGACATCCTATGTCCTTGGTTAGGTAGAATAAATATCGTCAAAATGGGAATATTACCAAAAGCATTATACAGATTCAGTACAATCACCATTAAAATATGAATGGCATTTTCATAGAGGGGGAAAAAAAGTCCTAAAATTCAAGTGAAAAAAATACAAAAAACCAAAGCAATCCTGAGAAATATAAGAAATACTGGAGGCAGCATAATACCCAATCTCAGATGATACTCCAGAACTAGAGTAAAAACAACAGCATGGCATTGACGTAAAACAGACTTTAAGGCAAAAGGAATAGAATAGAAGACACAGAGGCAAATCCACATAGATCAGTCATCTGATCTTTGACAACGGTGCCAAAAAAAAGTCATTAGTTTTAATCATTGACTGTTACTTTGATTCATGACACATGTATGGTGAGGGATATCACAAGACTATATGTATTTAATTAAACCATATTTATCAAAATTTGAATTTCATCATGCCTAGAATCAGAGTTATTTGATTTTTGTTACATGATTTCTAAACTCAAAAAATTGAATGAGGTCTTCTAACTACAAAAGAGGGATATCAGAAAATTCAGTAACTGGAACATAACCAGCATATAACAATCTTCTGCATATAAACTATTAAATTCAGTGTGCAGATAATTTGCTTGTTCTTACATGGTGTTTAAAATACTCCAAGTAAAAGGACTTTGGCCCATTATTGTTTGCTGCTTTTTTGGGGGGGGTGGGGGAGGGTACCAGGGATTGAACTCAGGGGCACTCAACCACTGAGTTACCTCCCCAGCACTATTTTGTATTTTATTTAGAGACGGGGTCTCAACTGAGCGGCTCAGGGGCTTGTTGCTGAGACTGGCTTTGAACTGCAGATCCTCCTGCCTCAACCTCCCGAGTCACTGGAATTATAGATGTGAGACACCACACCAGGCTGTTTGACTGCTTCTTAACCTTTGTAAGTAGAATGATTTCATTTATAAAGGTAAAAGGCTATTAGTACTTTCTTTTCTCAACGGTGTTAGGTTTATTTTACAATAATAATGGACTAGCTCTCTATTATTCTGTTGGTCTTCTAACATTGTCCCTTTCAATATCTCTAAAATATAGAATGATGTGAATGAAACAGACACCAACCCTGGAGGGTTTATGACTAAGCTGACCACAGCTGAGAAGTATTAGAGAAGCACATTGATGTTAAAGTGTGAACAATACTTCATTATACTTAAATTCAAAATATATGGAAACAACTCTGTCTGCAGTTATCTTTTTTTTTTTAACCTGCATCTCTGTTTCAAATATGGTCACCAATAAAGAATCACAAAACCTAACATCTGTATCAGAATTCCATCTCATGGAAATCTCAGAGGATCCAGAACTACAGCCTGTGCTTGTGGGACTGTTCCTGTCCATGTACCTGGTCACTGTGCTTGGGAACCTGCTCATCATCCTGGCTGTCAGCTGTGACCCCCACCTCCACACCCCCATGTACTTCTTCCTCTCCAACCTGTCCTTGGCTGACATTGGCTTCATCTCCACCACGGTCCCTAAGATGATTGTGAACATCCAAACTCACAGCAGAGTCATCTCCTATGTGGGCTGCCTGACACAGATGTCCCTTTTTATCCTTTCTGGGTGTATGGATGACATGCTTCTGACTGTGATGGCCTATGACCGGTTCGTGGCCATCTGCCACCCCCTGCATTACTCAGTCACCATGAGCCCTCGCCTCTGTGGATTCTTGGTTCTGATGTCCTTTTTGATCAGCTTTTTTGATTCCCAGCTGCATAACTTGATTGTCTTAAGCTTTCCCTACTTCAAGGATGTGGAAATTGCTAATTTCTTCTGTGACCCTTCTCAACTACTTCATCTTGGCTGTTCTGATACTCTAACAAATAACATAGTCATGTATTTTGTTGTTGCCATTTCTGGATTTCTTCCCATCTCAGGGATCCTTTTCTCTTACTATAGAATTGTTTCCTCCATCCTGAGGATCCCATCCTCAGGGGGGAGGTACAGAGCCTTCTCCACCTGTGGCTCTCACCTGGCAGTTGTTGGCTTGTTCTATGGGACAGGCCTTTCAGCGTATCTCGGTTCAGCTGTCTCACTTTCTCCCAGAACATGTGCGGTGTTCTCAGTAATGTACACAGTTGTCAGCCCTATGATGAATCCCTTCATTTACACCCTGAGGAACAGGGACATTAAAACCGCCCTGAGAAGGATACACAGCAATTATGAGGACAATCACAGAACCTGAGGCCTTTGTTTTCAATGGAGGCTAGAATTGGCAGCGAAACTAAACATGTAGACCTGTGTGTCTTGCTCACAATATTTTTGTAGATTAAGGAGTTTAATTCCTCATCGTGTTTCATGAACAAATGGCCATTACCATTTTTGTTTGAAAGAGGGAGGAAGCTGGGCACGGTGATGCGACTTCGGAGGCTGAGGCAGGAGAATCACAAGTTCTAGGCTATTCTCAGCGACTTGGCGAGGCCCTAAGCAAATCAGTGAGTCCCTGTCTCTAAATAAAAATATAAAAGTGTTGGGGTTGTGGCTTAGTGGTTAAGTACCCCTGTGTTAAATTAAGGGGAAAAAATGAATGAGGAATAAAATTTTTTAAATGGTTACAAAATTTCAGTTTGTGAAGAGAAAAAATTTCTGGAAATGGGTGTTGGTGATAACTGTGTAAAAAAGTGAATGTAATTAATACCACTGAATGGCATAAAAATGGTGAAAAGTGTAATGTTGTCGTTTTTTATCACAATGATCCATGGGAAAATACAAATGGATCTCTAAAGATGAGCAAGGAAAGATGGGAAACAAATTAAGTAAATAGTACCAGGGGCTTCTTCTTCCACAGAGGAAGCGCCTAGAACTTTGGTGGACGTTGAGTCCCTCTTCCTTTTTCTTCTACTAATGAAGGAGTCCTCAGAGATTGCGAGTGCATGGGCCAATTTGGTTAATTGTGACCTCTGAGTACTGAACCTACACAGTCATTTTATAATAAACAACCTGCCTTCAGAGTGGGGACTTCGGCCCCGGGTGTCCCACACCTGTGTCTGCTCTCGCCCTTGCTGTCTGTCCCAGGAAGTTGGACTCTTTCCCTCCAGACATTCTGCGCCCAGGGAGGAGTGGAAACCTTTGTGGGATTGGCACTGACTCTCACTGCTTGCTCATGGCCCAGAAGAGAAGCAGCTTAAACCAGTAAGAGCTGAGGGAGATGATGGGTGGAGAGGCAGGCGGTAAGCTGTGCTGTGGGACGCTCTTGTTCTGGGTCAACTTGGGGTCCTGATGACTTGTGCAAGGTTTCGTTTCCTTCCAACATACTGGTCAATACCTCTCACCTGTGAAAGCACCACTGTCCCCAAAGTTCTCCAAAATGATAACCAAGGGATGAGGAGGAGCAGGAGGAAAGCAACATTAACACTGTGAACCATATTTGAGGGATTCCTGGGTTCAGTCTGTGAGCTATGGAGAGTTTGTTTCATTGCATTTAATCTGCATGGTTTTCTGCCAATCAATTGCCCACTTTATTTTCCAAAAGGGGAGGGAGAACTGAGTTTTCATGTAACTGCTCTCAGTTGTTAGGTAAAAAAGCCTGAAGAGATTTTGAATGGGTCTGTCTGAATATGGACACAGGGCTTCCTGCCAGGAGAATCCTGCTGGGTTTCCCCCTGATGACCCAACAGTGCATTGCACTTCCCTGTATTCCAGGAAGAGACCCCTCGCTTATTGTGTTCTTCCTGGGGGTCTCTGTTAGCCCACAGGGCAGAGCAGTGGTTGGCTCCTGCTGCATCAAGAGGGATAGTTCATCACAGGCAAAGATCACAGAAAAGGTAGACACATCACAGTTCAGCACAGATTACCTCATGCCCCATCCAGGATATTGACACCTGTCGGCACGCCCCTGCATTCTTAGAATCTACAAAGCCAGTTTCCAAAGGAGGCTGGTATTCCGGTCTTGGTTTTATTTCTACATAAGAAATAAAGTTTTTAAGTTCCTCATGTGCCCCTGTCATTGAGATCTCTGGTTATCTGCTTAAAACCTTCTGATATTTGGAAAACAATGAAAAGTTTAGGTTTCTGACACAGACACTGACAATTTAATCCCCCACACTGGTTATGTCCGTATAACACAGGCAGGTTATTGGTACCTCAGAGACTCAACGTTCTCATCTGAGTTTATTTCTAGTTGATACAAAAGCACTGAGTACAGATTAAATACATATGGATGCTCCTATGTGACTAACACGTGATGAGTTTATGAAATAAGTGTGAAAGGCAATTTAGGTATTATTATAAGGGTGATGATAATCTTTGCACAATTCAGCTAAAATATCATGTTACTTGAAGTTACTCTTTTCCTGTAACTACAATGGGGCAATTGATTCTGTCCTTGTATAAATAACGTGCTGTGTTTTTGGAAAGGAATCTAATATTGGCTCATTTACGATTCCTCACATTCTGTACCTTATTTGATACAAAGGAGGCATCAAATATAAAAGAAATCTGCTTAAAACAGAGAATAGCTACTTCTTGGTTTGCAAACCCTGGTGTGGCCAATACACTTAGTGCTTTTCTTTCTACACTTTTATCTTTTAGAAAAGTCACCAAGAACAGGACACAAAAAATATTACCTCCTAATTATGTCTATACAATAGACGCATGAATTTTAAATTTTAATTTCACAAGATTTATTCTGTTCTGTTATTCAAAGATAATAGCACAGGTATTTATGGGTATTAAAGATAAAAGAGAGATAAAGTGGGAAATATTCCTCCTGCTTGAGCTCATTTGCATTTTGATTGTGTCATTTTAGGGTTTACTGGCTTTTGAAAATTGTTTGCATCAAGAAACTCACTATTTCTATAAAGAATGAGTTCTTCAAAAAGTGATTTAAGGGCCAAACGTTTATTAGAATCCAAACTTGCCTTACATACCTTCTGTGTGAAATTATGGGTGTGAATAATGCTGCTTTCCTTAATCAGTGTGCACCCAGAGAGGTGGGAGGGGGGTGTACACACATTCTGCATATGGGTTAATGAGCCAGGACTGTACTGTTGATTTCCTGAGTCCCATCTCAGGGGACTGTGTCCTCTACAGAAGCCAAATGGAAACATTATTCCCTATACAAGATGGCATTTCTTCAATAATCCGACAAGAACATTTACCACGAATGCATCACTGGTATTTTTGGCAGTATAAATGAACAGATGTAGATCTTTTGAATATAAATGATATTTATTATCATACCAAATATAGGTGACTGATAGTAAAAGGGAACATGTATCAATTATTGAAATTCAAATAACTATCTCACACAGTATATATTATCTAGAAATTTTCATTTGTGTAATACAGAGAGAGACATAGGATTTTGAAAGTATTTGGTTAATAATAAACTCAGTAAAGAAATGATGTTTCTCGATGGGGATATGTTCTGCATCCTCTGAATCATTTGACATAGCTGCAAGTACTTCACAGAGACTTAAGTCCAAAACTTTACAAATTAGTCATTTGAGGACCACTAAGTATGTTGTGAGCTAGATTAGCTTTACATGCTTTTTTGATAAACCTTAAAGAAACCTGATCATGATACACTGATGAATCCGGACATCTTTTTATTGACACACAAAATTCACCCACAGAATCATGACAGCATTTTTTAGGGTAAATAGATGTGCAGAATGGAATTATTCAGAGATGCCAAGAACTCAGATTTCATAGTTTAGAAATGAAATTCCGTAGGCTGGGGCTGTGGCTCAGCGGTAGAACGCTTGCCTAGCACGCATGAGGCACTGGGTTCCATCCCCAGTACCACATTAAAAAAAAATTAGATAAACAAAATAGAGGTATTGTGTCGACCTACAACTCAAAAATTTTAAAAATGAAATTCCTCTAAATTATTAGGTTCTAAAGCACATTTTGTCTCCAGTTTGTTTTTAACATGAGCAGTAGGTATTATTGCCAGTATTAGCAGATAACGTTAAGGGGGTAGTCAGTGCTGATGGTTCTCAATCCTGGTGTAGGAAAGACCATGGGAATTTCATATGAAGATACTTTAGCTACGTTGGTTTTTGCCCAATGTGTGGTGTCTTGATATTTTAAAATGTTCACATATAATTGAGTAAATATATGTAATAGATAAGTCACATATACTGATAACATTATGATATATATTGATAAATGAGACTAAAAGCCACTAGTTGAATTAAAAAAAAGCTTACAATAACACTATAAGCTACTTATAATATCACTTATAATTACTGTCTTAATTTCAGACATGGATAAATGGCACAGATGTTTACAAGGTAAACACCTAAATGTTTTCTTTTGCCTTTTTTTTTGGGGGGGGGGAATCATTTCACAAAATAATAACCATAAAATGGCCTTTAAGTAGCTGAGGTCAGAGAATAGCATCAACATTCCAGGAAGTATTTATGTGAAGTTGTATTAAGTAGCATAAGAAGGGTGGGGATTTTCTAGTTCTAAAATCCTTAACAACATACAGAAAGGTTTATGATTAAAAAAATGAAAATCATTTCAAAGCCATTAGAAAACAAGAAATGAAAAAAGGTGGGAGGCAAGGAATCTTCTTCTCCCTAGATATTTTACTAAGATTATGTGAGACAGTTACATAATAAAATATAAAATTTCAAAAGTTTTTTAACATTTCATTATTATCTCATCATTGACACATTGACAGGTACAGTCCAAAAAATAACACATTTATGGTTAGTGATAACTGTGGTTATGTGCCTCAAATGTAAATATGTTAATCACAATTTGAAGTTCACAAATGGAGCAGTTCTATACTACATGAGTTTTAAAACACAAACAAAAATTGAGTGAGAACTTTTCCCACAAAGGAGGCGAATCAGAAAAAAACAGGAAGCTGAAAAACTTCTGGAAGATGAGTGTCACATAATGTTCTCTGACATGAACTATTATGTCAAATAATGCAGTCCTAATCTTACACAATGTTTAAGAATTCTAAGTCAAAATAACATGTACCACCATTTATATGGTAACAGATGATTGGGTACTTTTTCCTAACCTCTTTTCTGTTTCAAAAGGTGTCCAAACAAAACAGAACAAGAAAATATAACAAGTGTCTCAGAATTCCATCTCCTGAGCCTCTCAGAGGACCCAGACCTGCAGCCCTTCCTCTTTGGACTGTTCCTGTCCATGTACCTGGTCATGGTGCTTGGGAACCTGCTCATCATCCTGGCCGTCAGCTCTGACCCCCACCTCCAC